AACAACGCCTACTCCAAGGGTGCCAGTGCCCCGCTGACCAAAGTCCAGGACCCGGCCAAGCGCTACGGATCGTACGCCTATCGGGCGGCGGACAAGAAGGGCGAAAACGGGATCTGGGTGAGCTACGAGGATCCGGACACGGCCGCCGACAAGGCCGGCTACGTGGTCAAGAACAATCTGGGCGGTGTGGCACTGTTTGACCTCTCCTTCGATGACTTCCGCGGCCTCTGCACCACCGAGAAGTACCCCATCCTGCGGGCAGTCAAGTATCGTTTGTCCAACTAAACGAAGATGATTGATTGATGGATTGATTGAGCCCAAGGTAAAGCTTTGTCAGACAGAAAATTAGAGCTATCAATGTATGTATATGTGTCGTAAAATAAACAGAGGGTGTTGCAAGGGCATTCCCATTAATTGCTTGATGATGCCACCTTAACATATGCACAATCCCCCGCCCCCATATAGACACCCTGTCTATCTAATTATCAGCCTATCCATTTCTCATTCTACGCGGGCACAGTCGTCCTGTGGGAGCTCCTCCTCCATTCAGCAGTTGCTATGGCACCTCCTCTGTCACAGGGCTTCAGGCTTTCATCATTGTGCTTCGATGAATAGCCAAAATCCAATTGACTTTGACGGAAAATCTGTAATCGGCTTCATCATTAAAGCAGCCCAGAGTGCCGGAGTGCCAGACTCTGGCCACGTCCTTGCCTCAGAGGAAGCCAGCCCCGACCCGACCACGGAAGGCCTTGAATTGACTGCTCAACATTTGTCACTGGAGCGAAAACGTCGAACATTTTCGCAAACGCAGCAGATACAAAAACACACACACACAGATACAGACACAGATAAGGTCGAACGCACATGGGGAAATTCTGAAGGACTAGCTCAATGTTAGGCACGATTTCACAAGAACAACAGAGAATACAATGAAAGAAAGCCTAGAATAGGAAGTCGAAGCGTGGAATACCCTTGAACATGATTGCAGAAGAGATGCTTCCCAGTAGACTGCCAGCGGATGCACCCTCTCCTAGGAAGGGCAGACCAAAAAGGAAGGGAACGAAGAACAGCCCCGAAAAGCAGAACAATGACAGCGCAGACAGAGGCACAAAAGGACTCTCGACAGCAACAGCCATGAGAACGCACGCATAGGCAATCAGAATGGTATAAACCTGAAACGAGAGCGAAATGAAATGAAACGTGCAACGGGCCACGATGAGATCTTTCCTCTTCTCCCACCTCCATCTCTCCCCGTTCTCTATTGGGCGCTCCCCCCACACTCCCCCGTTCGCTTAGGGTATTAGGAAAGCATTTACCTTTCCGCACAGGCCCCATTACACATGCATATAAACGAGGGACGAGAGTACGACGACAGCCTAAACAATTTTTAAAGGTAAACTCTGTCTAGAATATTCCTTTGCATTTGCCATTTGCCATTTTCCACCCAGAATCCGAACCAGAAGCAAACCCAAACCCAGTGCAAGGGTAAGGTACAGGGGGAGAGGAGTTTGAGGATTTGGCACTTTAGGCACTCTTCTTTATAGTATGTATATTCGGTCGCTCTATGTATAGTTAAACGCTTTGGCCAACATTGCGTATGAGTGTTCTGTGTGCTCTGCGTGCTCTGTGTGTGCCAGCCGTGAGCTGTTGAGCACGCATATTGCGCATACGCCATGGCGGGGCATGGCATGGCATGGCATGGCAGGGCATCGCACTGCTCTGCTCTGCCCTACCATCGAATACATTTTTTGCCGGTGCTTTCCTTCCTTCCCATTTTTTCTGATTTCTTTTCTCAAATAATTGGATTAGTGTTTCAGCGCCCTCAGCAGCAGCGGCGGCTACTCCATTACTCCTGCTGCTGCTCCCCCTTTGGGACCGCGTCATATGGATATGAAATTGTTTGTAGTTTTATTCCAGATTTTCCCTCTATGCGGGGATTAGTTTACAAACATACACGAAGCACACATATCTGTGTGGGTGTATATGGCATAATATTGCCATGCCCAAGGCGGGCAAACGAAGCGAATTAGTTTTTATTTGTATGCTTTTTGGTTCGTCCCTTAAATATTTAAATTCCATTGCCATCTCTCGCTCTGGAATAAGAGCAAAAAGCAGCGAAGCAGAAGTGAAGGAAGTCTGTGGAAGGAAAACCTTCGGAGGAGGCAAACAACTTTCACAGCAGATGTACATTAAGTTGTTTAAAATGATTAACTGTTGAGGATTTCGATTTGGTAAATCGCATTTGATTGATTTGATGGAGAGGCAGGCAGGAGGGCGTGCAGGCCGGCAGGCGGGTAAAGCCCGTTGCCGAATCGATTAGCTTTGCAGGAAAAGCAGGAAGCATTATTTTCATAGAAAAAAAATACAAAATAATCGTACTATATCCTTGCAACTTTTTGCCTCCCCTCCACTGAGGAAATACAAACAAAAGCTGCAGGAACAAACTTTTGACTGGCAAAAGAAGGAGATGGCAATGGCAATCGCATTGCCCATAACGAATATGTATTTTTGATTCCCTGTTCCCTGTGCGATGTGCTGTTTCCTTGCTGTTTGTATAGCTGCTGCTGCTGCTGCTGTGGCAACTCGTAACAAGTTAAGCAACTTTGGACAGACATCAAAAGTTTCGGGGGATTTTCATTCGGGCAGCTTTGGAGCTGTCAACAGCTGTGCCCCTCAGGAGCAGCAGCCTTTCAGCAGAGTTCCTAGAGGATGCCCACCTGATGGGACGGATACACCTCGAAGAGATTCTATAAGAAATAAGAACTTACTGGGGATTTGCTTTGCCGAAGAGAGAGTTCTGGAGTATTTCCCATTCGCTTAAACATTTTCAATTTCAGGCAACAACTTTCCACTGCCAGAGACAGAGAGAGGCAGAGAAATCTTCGCTGAGCCATTATCATTGTCGGCACACATGTGGCACACAGAGCAACATTTATGGGCCTCGCTTTCCCCTCCTCGGTTCCCCCTTCCGAGTCGGCAAATTGCCAATGTTGCTGTTGGCACGGCAGACAGTGGCAGCAGCGGCGGTGGCGGTGGCAGGCAGGAAATGCCTTACTTGATTTAGCTGCTAAGTGCAACTTGAGGCAGGGCCAGGCATGGGGCCAGGCATGGATACCAAATTGCACGCCGCATGTCGCCAGGAAGCAGCGGAGGCAGAAGGCGGAAAGCAGAAAGCAGCCAACGGCAGCAACAACAATTTCCCAGTGTCCTCGGCAAGGATTTTTCGGCAACAATGTTCTCATAAATCCCCTTGGCGCTTGTAAAAACAATTATGCCAGATATTTACGCCGCAAAAAGCCGAATGCGTTGCAAGTTGCAACGACAACAGCAGAAACAGAGATGCAGAGAAGCAGAGAAGCAGCTGCAAGAAAGGAAGTCGAATTCAAAGATACCCTTCCTACGACGATGCGATACACTCTGCGTTTCTGGATGGGGTTATAGCCCCTCTGGAAAGGGCATGCATTCGACTACCCAGAGTCGTGCGGCACATTTGCTGTTAACATTTTTGGCTTTTAATTGCAGTGTCATGGTTCGTTGTTTCTTCCACATCCTCTGCTGCTCTTTGCTCCATCTCTTCTGATCTCCGTTTCCGTTTGTAATTTGTGGCCTTTAAGCCACGAGGCGTATGCGTAATATCGCTTACATTCCAGCCAATTCACACCATTCGCCACTCGCCATTTGCCATTCGCCAGAGAGAGAAAACGTTGTAATTATGAACTTTTAATTAAAATGTTAAGCAAATGGAACAAAAAACGCATCCTGCAAGAGAAGAGACTGCAATCCTCCCATGGATTTCAAGCAGGGAAAAGGGAGAAGGGCGAAGGGAAAAGAGGTGTTGATGGCAGGGGGATGCGGATGCTGCTACGTGAAAAGTGGAAAATGGTTTGCGCTGAGGCCCAGTCAAGGAGGATTTTCCTCCATTCAGACGGGAGGAAAACACACGAACAGGCAGCAGCTGTCAGCGCCTGGATAACCCATCGACAGTTTCGAATGTCCATTTGTGGAGCACTTTGTCTCTCCGCCCCCCCACCACCCCCGACCCCTTTTCACACACTCACTCTCTCTATCTGTGGCGTGTTGTGTGTGTGTGTGTGTGTGTGTGTGTGTGCGGGAGTATCTAATTGCGTGTCGGAGTATGGGTTACAGTTTGTACGTGGCTCGCACAGGCGGCCATAAACTGCAAAAGCCATTTCTTTGGCTCATGGAAAGTTATGGCAGCAGGCAGGATGGGGCACGGGGCTCCTCCAGTCCGCAAAGGATATGAAATCCGCTGGGACAGTGTGCCTTAAAAGCATAGCACCATAACACCCCGCCGCTCACAAGTTAATCAATAAATTCCAACTAAAATTAGAAGGAGTTTATTTCTTTTTGACCCACTTTCTGTGTGGATTCTGTCTAATAGTAGAACTACGATTTATTGTAGATCCTATTGCCACAGCATTACCTTTTTATACTTCATAAAACTTCTTTTCTTTAACTATTCGGATCCCGGACATTCTTCCCAGACAAACCTCCATAAAAGGTTGCCAACTTTTAGTCTTCCTCAACGCAAATTTGATCTCAAGTCTTCGGTCATCTGCAGCGTGAAAAGAGCGACTCTGTTAGTTCTAATAGCTCATATCGCAAACGACACTTTTGTGGCCTGTACGTGTGAATGGATGTGAATGTTCCGTATCCGTATCTCTGCGAGAGTGTTTGTGTGTGCAGTGGCAGGGGCAGGGGCACGGGCAGGGGCATTCATGCCCTTTTTACGGCAAACATTCAGTTTTTGTAGTCACGTTCAAGCGCTTTAAGCGAGGGCTTCCCCGGGAGGCGGGAGTAACCCCACTTTTCGCTACGGTTTCGAGCCGACATAACCATGGTAACCATTGGGTAAAACAAACAAAAACATAACTCAAACCCAAGGAACACGCCATGCGGCGTATGTTTAGGGTAACCCGAGGAGGGAGGAGACTCCCGCCAGGGGGAGAAATAATCAGATTCTACTGAAATCTACTCACATTGTGGCGCTTCTTCTCGCGCTCGGGCACCGCGTGCCAGCTGAACTGCAAATTCCAATCAAAGCCACCCACATTGACGCCGCTGGAGTCGCGATAGTGGTACTCCAAGGTATCATCGCTGATGACATCGATGACGGGACAGACAACGGTGGTGGAGTTCCGGGCGATGCGATCCAGCAGCGGTTCCAGCCAGCCTGCGAAAACAAAAGGATGAAAGGATGAAATTGAAATTGTGAAAATACGACTACGAGCGGGTTTAATTGCTTTTTCGGGGCACGGTACGGCACGGCACTCGCTCGCTCATCCATCCATCATCCGCCTCATGATAGGAGAAATTGCTTTTCTTTACGCTTCACTCTCGGATAGTTTTTTGACAACCAATTGCCAGCTTTTGCTGCAACTTTCTTAATAAACTAAATTGATTGCCTTTTGTTACGTTCTCTTGTCAGTCATTGAGCTTATCGAGTGGGAGTGGCAGTGGGAGGCTCAGAAACAGAATCTGAGCCAAAGCCAGAGAGGCAGAACCAGATCCAGGGAAATACCGAGGCTCAAGTGAATTACTCGAGTTGGGCTTTGTTTTATTTGGCATCGTTTTGGGCCCAACGGATTTTATTTGATGGCCATCAAAAATGGTACGAACAGAACGTTACACTCTGGGCCATAAACCAGAAACGGGAGACTCCACAGGAGAGGAGGAGACTCGGATAGGAAAAAAGCTTGTACAACAGAAATGAAATTTCTGCATTTAAATTTGATTTGGTTTTACTTTTGCTTTGCTTTTTTGGCTGCCGCATAAATTTAAATATTTATTATTGGCCTGAATTTTGTATTGCCAAAAATGCTGACTGCACAAATGCTATCTACTCAATTAAGAGCCGCACTTGTAGTTTTTTGAGGAATTAGCATATTGGCAGATTGACATTCATTCCATTAGTGAATGTAATAGAGAAAATCTACGAGAGGGAGAGGTGGAAAATGGCTCGTCAATCGTTTAAACACGTCTCCGTGTTGCGGATACTTATGATTGAATTATGAAATTTCGTACCAAGGAATACAATATTAATTTAAGATATTTAAGAGAAGACCTTACATCTTAGTCGTTCTTATGCTCGACAAATAGTATTTGCCACCCAAAAGTATGCTACAAATTAAAGTAGCAGTGCAGTAATTCAGCAGCGCATAGCACCTACCTTCTTATGGAGGCTAAAATTTCTTAGTATAAATTGTGTTGCCTACTTCCAGGCAAATAAATTAATCACTTAATCGCATCTATTGCACGCGCACTATTGTTTTCCCCTAAAGGTATTCTACAAATTAATGTGGCAATTCCGCAAATATTATCCCCTCTAAAAGTTTGCTGAGTATTTTGTAGTCTGAATTCTGTTGCCTGCTTTCAGGCAGCGACATTTATCACTTGCTCACCTTCAGTGCACTCGCAATGGGAATCCAAATACGTTAAAACTGGCGCCTTGGCATGCTGGGCGCCCAGGAGGCGGGCACGAATCAAGCCCTCGCGCTTCTTCCCCCTGATAATCTGAACCTTGGGATAGGCGGCAAAATAATCCTCTAGTTGCGTCTTGAGATGCGCTAAAATGGAGAATAAACCTCGATGTAGATTCATTGATTTTGCTTCCAAGACAAGATTCCAGGAGAACACTCACGCATATCGCTGTAGTCATCCACCAGGATAATCCTGCCAATGAGGTGTTCCGGGGATCTGTCCAGCACCGAGTGCACTGTCCGCAACAGTACGGTCCAGGCCTCGTTGTGGAAGCAAATGATGACATCTGTGGCAGGTAGATTCGATAGATAATGGGCCGAATCCTTGCACCAGGCATCCCGGGGATCCGGCAGTGTGCGGTGCACCGATATCAGGTCGGAAACATACTGGTTGAAGGCATTGTTGGTCCAGCCAGTCTCCACGGCCTTCTTCATCTCGTCGGTCATCTCCTTGGGCAACGTGACAGGTTTGCCCATCTCCCCCAGATTCTCATCGAAGTTGCCAGGCGGATCTATTACCTTTTTCGTATCTGCAAAAGAGAGACAGAGGTAGAGAAATATGTTTGCATTTGCTGTCTGATTTGATTTTCCTTAAAACTGCAGTTGAAGGTGAGATGAGCACGAGGGAACCCTGTTGTGCGTGAAATTTATGACAAAATAAACTCACAGAGATACAGAGAGATAGAGAGAGAGCGAGAGAGCGAGAGAGAGGCGAATAAACATTAAGTTCCTGTTGAGATAAATCGCAGTGCATTTCACATGAAAAGTTGCCATCATCAGGAGCTCCTCGCCTGCTTTGTGGGGTCCTTCCTTCACATGGTTATGAAAAATCGTTTGCCTTGCAAATTTCCTCATGTGTGTCCTGACCCCCACCCACTCTCACTCCCACACCCACCCTCCTCGACTAGCACTCCTACAGCTGCTACTCCCGTCCTTGCTGTGCATTTTATTATTTTGTTATTTGCATTTGCATGGAAATATGAAATATTCTCCTGTTCTCAGTCGACTCCTTCCCGCTGCGGCTGCTGCTGCTGCTGCTGCTGCCATGCTGTGCTCCTCCTGGGAGCATATATATCCTGCTCGTGAGCTCCTGCCTCTGCTTTTTATGCGATTTGTCAGCCACAAGTGACACTTATTGGCCATCGCCTGAATGCCTGACTGTCTGACTGTCTGCCTTTCCACTATCCATCCTCGAGTTCCTCGGGTTCTCTGCTAATGGAAATATCAGGTACGCAGCCCAGAGACCCTGCTTAAAGGGCTTACCAATTTAATTAAACTGGATTTCCATTTCGGAATTACATTTACTCAAGCCTCGGGGTTTAAGAGGATCTTAGGCTGGGGATTTCAAGGAAATTTCGTGGTTCGAGTGCATTTAGTGAGAGTTCTAGGGGCTCCCTTCGTAAAGTTGCACCATTCCGAACAGATGTTCCCCTCATTACATCCCTTTTCCAATCATAATCATAGCCCGTTCAATTAGAACTCAATAAAAACATAGCCATTGAGGCGAATTTGGTTTTATGAACTGGTTTTTTGGACCACAAAATTCTTCTTTATTTCCACAATCGGGCAAAACATATTTCTGGCTTCCCCAACCCCACCTTAAAGGGGGGGCAGAACATTTCAATTACCACAACCATTTCAAATTCAATAAGTGTAAAAAGCTAGCTCCCCGGCAAAATAAGAAGCCATAAAAGGCTGCAAAATGAGCGGGATAGAAGCAAGATAGAAGCAGGATGCTAAAGGATGGTATGGCATGGCGTGGAGAGTGGGGTATTGGGGGACTGCGGATGCCAACCGCATTATGATAGTCTCCGGAAAGAGAGAGGAGTGGAGTGGACTGGAGAACAGGCCAATCAGTCGACAATAAATTTGTTCGCACACAAAAATGGAAAATAAGAGAGAGGAAAAAACCATTAAGTCGGCCACAGGCGTCGGTAGGCCCACGGACGAGAGGGGACACGGCAGAGGGGGTTGCTTGGTTGGTTTCACTCATAAATTGTATGATTTGTCGCCCGTTGCCGTGGTAACAATTTCATTGCGGAATATTCACGGTTCCGCCACAGGATTCCTTTGTTCTGGGCCCCCCTCCATCCCCCTCTTATAATGAACTTTTTTCGCATGCTGGGCGCCTCTCGCACACGCATCGTCATCATAAAAAGCAATAATAAAAAATAGAATAGAATATGGTCTGCGGCGAGGGCCTGTGGAGAGCCGTAACTGGATTTTATGTCTTTTATTGATTCACTGTTGCATATTTATGGCCCCTTGAGATATTAATGATATGCCCAGCGGCAGGGCTCCGGGACTATTCTCAGGACTCCCCCCTTCAGGAGTAACCCAATTAGGGACACGCCCATAGGCCCAGGCAGAAGTGGGGCCAAAGAAACAAAGGAAACAAATCCCCCATTCGCTTGCCATCTTTAAGGATTTTCCCATACAGGAAATATTTCAATATTCTTGTCACATTTCCGGTTAAATCGTATGGTAAAATATTAAAACTCGTTGCTTCTTTCCGAAAAATGCTCTCCGCTTCGATTATTCGTGCAGTTTTCAATGAGAAAATCGGAGTTGACATTTTCCCATCGTATGGGACGCGGGACATGCGAGAAAAACAACGCTGCGTATGCGTTATGTTCGCCATGCGCTGACAATGGCGCGGGCAGAGGGGGGAGTGGTAGAACAAGGAAAGACAATCGCAGCGCAGAGAAGCGCTCAAGGGACACGCCTGAGCGTGACAGGAAGCTATAAATGTTTGGCTATTGACAGAGACAGGAACAGGAGGAGCAGGTGGGAGGTGGCAGCAGCAGCAGGTGAAAGGTGGATCTAGTAGGGGTGTGTGGGGGTGTGTCTGGCACATGACAAATGCCTTTCCCTAGCTCCCTAGCTCCCTCGCTGCCTCTCTCTCTCTCATTTCCTTCTCGTCGCTCATGTTTCACATCATGTTCGCCGCATAACTGTAACATAATATGCCAAAGTACCGCTATTTCGCACAACGAATGAGGTTAGGGCGAGTCACGTGTGAATCCCCCCTGGCTGTGGCAGTGGCAGCACTTGGGGGCACGATGGCAGGGAAATGACAATAGACATGCGAGCGCGCATTCCCTGGGATTAGCATTGATTAAAAAAACAGGAAACCCCAAAGAACAGGGTAACAAGAGGAAAGGATAAAAGAGGAAAGGATAAAAGAGGAGGAGGAGGACTGAGAGAGAGAGAGAGAGGCACAAATCAATCTGCTTTTGTGCCGCATTTTGTGGCAGCATACTACTAGCACAGCCAACAACAAAAAGGGGGGCCTTCGGTGGGCGTGTCTATGTTGTTGCCTTGAATATGGTATAAAATCATTATCGCTGCTAAATTGTAAAAACAAGAATTATGCGTATAGCAGATGCCCCCACCCCCTGCCCTGCCACAAGGGGAGGGTGCAGCAGGGTGGTGCAGCGGCAGGGGCCAGGCCAAGAAGGTATCCCAGGGATAGTAGGGATCCCAGCGATCAAGATAACATGGCCAGAAGGCAGAAGGCAGAAGGTATGGTATGGCGTGGCATGGGGTGGGCTAGAGTGGAGAACCCGATGCGAACGCGCGATAAACGTCGTGTTGGTACCACGACGCTCTCGCACGTCTCGTTGTTGCATCTTTTTGGTGGTGTAGTGTGGTGTGGAGTGGTGGTAACGCTGTGCCCCAAGGCCAAAGCCAATAAGTACAACAACACTAATTACCAGCTATGAACAACGTGGGGCAACCACATGGCAAACACAGGCACACAGGCCGAGGCAGAGGCCTGGAGGACGGAGGAGGTCGAATGCTACGGCTAGGGCTAGGTCGGAGGAGCTACCACAGTGGTCGGACGCCCTGGCACCCCATCGAGAAAACTATAAAACTTGAGCATTGTCTAGCAAATGCCAGAAATGCCATAAAAAATATAGAACATTTCTAGATTTTGTCAAGAAAGAGGAAAGCCAAGCCATCCAACCGCTTGCTATGAGAGGTCTCCCTCTGGCTCTGCCTCTCCGTATTCCCTAAAGATCAAAGGATCAAATCCTTGTTGTTCCTAGTTGTTCATTCCGAACCACTGTTCGAGGTTCGATCCACGGCTCGATCCATTGGCGAGTGTTGGTAAACGTTTGTTGGCTTGCACACAATTTTGACGCCATGGGGCAGCTGGCAGCTGCTGCTCGAGCAGCGATCCCAAAAGGAATCCAAAAGGAGCCCACTTGTAGCTTTGCCACCTCAACGATGCTTATGATGATGATGATGATGATGATGATGATGATGGGAATGGGAATGGGTAGGAGATGGACTTGCAGTTGCGCAAGGCAGAACCTGGGCTGAAGATGGGGCGAGAGATGCAAACATGATATGCGAAATTGCAAATACGTGCATTGGCCGAGACGGGGGGATGTATGTAGATCTTTCGCTATCCTCCAACTCCTCCTCCTCCTCCTCCTCCTCCTACCATATGCCCCGACGGACTGATGGTCAGTCGACCACATGCTGATGCCATCTTAAATGCTTGTTCCACATGCGAGAGCCAGAGCCAGAGCCACAACCCAATAGATGCGAGGATAGTGGAGGAGGGACATACAGGAAGCTACAAGCGAGGTCTATCTATGCCTTTTCCTCCTCCTATTCCTTCGCTCTCTGCCTGTGCCTGTGCCTGTGCCTCTGCCCCTGCCCCCCTTCTCTGGAGTCATGCCTGGTTGGGCCCCAGACGGGCTTCATTGATTTGCCTGGGCAGAGGCAGAGGCAGAGCGACCAGTCAAGTGTCCATTGAGGAAAAATCTATCCCATGGCCGGGAACTCTGGACTCTGTATCTGCCACATCTGCCACCTTACCACCTCCCCCTCCACTGGCTGCCCCCTTCTCCCAGCCTCGGCTTGACTTGATTAGTAAGTAACATTATCCATACCCTTTACGCGTGGCTTAAAAGGCCGTACAGCACTCGCCGAAAATGCAATCCTCACGAAGTCCACTTACTAGATATTCAGTTAGGTTCTTACTCGATTATGGATATGGATTCAATTTACTTTAGTTTGTAGAGCTCTCATTACAGCGCCCATGTTCCTGAGGGAGTTGCTTTCCTTCAGAGGGTATCCCTTGGTCGTTGCCCTTTGCCTTGTTATTTCGTGTACTTCCTCCCCTCCACGAGTTGAATGCGAATGCCTGTCTGTCTGTCTATCTATCTGTCTATATCTTTCTATCCCTGTAGTATCCCGCCCTCCGCCACCACCACCGCCACCACCACCGCCTCCGCCTCCGCTCCGCTGAGCATTCGCCTGACATTGAAAATGTTGTTTGGCAGCAATTCCAAGTTGTTAAGTGCTCTGCGTTGTTGCAGTTGCAAATGTTGCAGTTGTTGCTGTTCTTGCTGTTTGTTCGGGTTGTTAGTATTTGCCGCTGGGGCCAGCATCTTCGACATTGTTGTAAAACTTGTTAGAAATTTTCTTAAAGGCACAAAAGGCGGTGGCGCGGCCACCAGAGCAAAACGAGGAAGTGTGACAGCAGCAGCAGCGAGTTTTCCTCGAAGAGCAGGGGGGGAGCGAGGGGGGAGCCCCATATGTGTTATTATCCCCCGTTCGGATGGGAGCGGGCTCGGGCTCGGGGTTCGGTTTCGGGTGACCCAAAATGCATTCTCACAAGAAACAAGGATGTGTGTGTGTGTGTGTGTGGGGGCAACGGGTGCCATGGGTGCAACGGTAGGGGGCATGTGCATTGAATTGAATTGATGGGAATTAGTTGCGAGCGATTGCGTGGAAATGAACTGCAAAGAGTCCAGGGAAAAGCAAGAAACTGATTTCCCAGCACCGATAAAAAGGAACAGGGACCAGGGGGTGCTGCAGGGTGCAGGGTGCAGGGTGCAGGGTGGGGGTGAATCCATTTGTGCGGATTCCGGAATGGAAATAAATGTGCAACTGATTTCAATAGAAATGCTTATTGTTCGACGCACAGGCAACAATAAGGAGCCACTCGATAAGGAGCACCCACCCAAGGGATGTTAAATCACTGGGAAAATGAGAAAGTAATCTTGGGTAAAACTGTTAGCAAAGAAAGCGAAGAGGAAAACTTTTCCCAGAGAGATGGAGAGCTAATTTCCCAGGAAAAGGACTGATTAGTTTTCGATGGTAAAAAGGGATTCGATTGGCTGGCAGGGACCTCTGATTTGTTTCTGATGTTGTGACCCTCTTATAGAGATTGACCAAAGGAGTCTCCGCTCAAGGATGCCGCTCAAGGAATCTCTCCATCTCAGGCTGAATCTCAATCTTCAACAAAGCCTGAAATCAGTTTAATTGCAAAAAACAAACGAAGTCTCACCGTCTTGTAGCTTTGGCTTGAGCGGAATGGGGGCCGCCTTCTTCCGGGGCTTCTTGTCAGCGGACTGGCGCCCGGACTCGTTTATTTTGGGCTTGGCGGCGGTGGGCGGAATGTCCGCCTCCTCCAGCTCATTGCGTAGACCGCCTCCTGCTCCGATGATGACATTGCCATTCAGGCCGATGTCGTCGTTGAGGAGATCGGCCGGCTCGCCGTCCCCGTTCCTCAGGGGCAGGGCAACGGGATCTCCGAGGGGAGCGCCTCCTACGGCGCTGCCCGAGGCACCTCCTGCCTCCTGGGCGGCACGACGCCGTGTGTCGTCCGTGTAGACGAGGAAGGCGATGCAGAACCAGATGGCCAGCAGGAAGGCCACCAGCTTCACGATTGTCGTCGAGCGTCGACGCCAGATGAAGGCCATCTTTGGTGCTTGTTTGTTTTCGTTTCGCTGATGTGTGGTTTTTCTTGCAAGGGCTTTTCCCCAAAGAAAGGTGCCAACGGATACACTAAATCTCTCTCACGCTCTCTCGCTCTCCCGCTTTTTGCGGGACTTTCTGCGGCGGCTTTCACTTAGTTACGAGGCCTCTGGTCCTTCTGGTCCGCGGCAAGGGCGCACATGGCGTATACGTAACATTAATCAATTCCCAGAAACAGAGAAAAGTGATTTATGATATGTCCTCTCTGATTCCCTCACTCCTTTCTCCACTGATATGTGGTCTCTCCTCTCCTCTGTTCTGTTCTGTTCTGTTCTGGAAGATATCAAAATATAGTTTTCCTTGGAGTCTGCTCTCGAATCAGTCTGGTTTTTGCTGTGGGATATGTCTGGACAATCTTCAAAATTGTGGGAAGAACTGCGGTTGCACTCCTCGGGGATGGGGGGTCCTTAGCTGTGGAAGAGACAGAGGGGGGGAAATGGGTTAAAACAGAAGGCCGAATGCAATTAATTTCTGGCATTAAGCCATTAAAATGAAACGCAAACCAAATAATTGTGCCATTAAGAATAATATTGATTTTAGATCTGCCTCTCTGTTGCAGCATCATCTTCAATTAAGCGTGGAAGCTCTTGCCGTCTTCCAATCTCCGGTAATGGCACCGGCAGAGGCACCGGCAGAGGCAGCGGCAGCGGCAGAGGCAACGGCAGAGGCAGAGGCACAAACATAAAGCGACAGGCAACATGCCACTAATGTCAATATTATATAATTGCAGCAAAAAACCGCATCAGAACTTTGTACCCGCTCCCGCACCCCTCCCCGCTTCTCATTCCCTGAAACCACTTGAGTGGCTGCCAGGTAAATGACATGGACACGCCACTTGGCTCTGGCACTGGCTCTGGCACTGGCACTGGCTCTGGCCCCCAAGCCCCCAAGTGGAACAGCGAACAGAGAGCAGCGTTCGTCGGCCCAGAGGCCAGGCCATAAACCATAGACATGATCCCAAGGCAGACGAAGTGGAGTTGCGTGTTGCAAGAAGATGTTGCGGGCCGGGGCAGAAACAAGAAATTGTGCGGTTTCCCCTACACCTCCCCCACAGCAGCACAGGGAATGGGGAATGGGGAACGGGGAACAGGGAACAGTGCTAACCGCAGTTGAATACCCTTCGATGCTAATCCAATTAGCGGACTCTCGACTGACTGTCCACCGCCCAGAGATGGGCTACGTGCGGGTTCGGTTTCCGTTACGGGTTTGGGTTCGGGTGCGTTCTGTGGTTGTCGCAGGAGCACATAATCCTGGGAAAACTTCAAGCAATTTCCCGCAGAGACTACATTTCACTTAAAGCAACAATCTCCCATCATAAATCAAAGAGTCTGCCGGCAAAAAAAGGTTCTTTGTGTTAAAAGATTCCTTAAAATGCCCTTCCCTTTGACTGCCCGCCGCGCGTCCTCTTGGCTTCCTCTTGCGGCAGGAATTCCCTTGACTTGAAGCCAACACAGTTTGCATTAATACGAGTGCTTCCCCGAGTGGAGTTTCCCGGAGTCTATTAGAGGAAAATGTGTATGCAGGAGAGAATTCAAATGAAAACTAATAAACATGGCTCTGGAGCCCTGATGGCCTGATGGTCGGACCAGAGGGCACTTCTGGGAGCGGAGCACTCTCGGACTCGTACTCTGACTCGTAATTGGGTGCACATGCAGGCCGCTGCTTGCCCCCAGGGCCACGCCGACTCTGGGCTTATCAATTAGATGGGGCAGCGTCTCCTCGTCCCCGTCCCCGTCCCCATCCCCGTCACCGTCCCCGCCCCTTCCCCGTGACCGCCTATAGCTAAACTTCCATCCGCTCTGGGGAATCTCTTCATGCCACTCTTGTCGCCACCCCTCCCTCCCCACCCTTTGGGAGCCGACTATGCGAATACAATAAATACGAGTTAATTACTTCGTGTGCCTTTTGTTATGGCTCGTTGGGTTCAAGAGCCATGCTCCCTCCTCCCCCTCTGCAGCTATGTTGGGGCTATTTCCGCTGCATGCGCTTGTAAATTGAATACAAAAGAGAAAGGGGTTCCCCGCCACCCACACACATGTCATGTCCTCTTGCTCAGCTGCAAAAAAGAGCAAAAACAACTGCGACATAACTAAAGTTTGCCCTGACAAAATAGAGCAATTATTGGCAACAGAGAGAGGGAGAGAGAGAGGGAGTGTGGTTAAGAGGAGTGCGGGGCGGCTATACAGGTGTCCCCTCCACCAAATGTTGACAATCTCAATTACGGTCTACGGACCGCACTGGCAACAGAGCCACAGAGCCATTGCCACGACGATAATTGGCGGATTTCGGCCGACAATTATTTGTATGGATATTTGTGTGTACATCGGTCGAAAGCTAATCAAAGAACACACACCTCTCTCAGGGCCCCACAATTGTTCATCAAGAACCACATAGAATATGTTTATCGATTCAACCCCGCAGATGATAGCCAAGAGTTACAAGGGGGGCTGGCATAGCTACTGTGCCAACTAATAGGCCTAGAAGGCCCTTTTTGAGCAAATAGTATCGGCTGGCTGAAAGTGAAATCAATTAAATTCCATTTATAATATTTATGCACTACTCGTAATATGCATTACAGCTTTTCGATTATATCGTTCTCTCCCCCTCTCGATTTGGAATATATTCAGGAATAAAGGCACGTAGGTCGCAATAAACAATCTGCAAGAGTACATATACAGAGACTCCTCTCAATAATTGACTGATTGCAATAAAGTGACATTTATGGACTTTCGCTGTCAAACAGGAACAGAGTGGGTCACTGTCAACCACCGCCGCCACCCCTTCTGCCGTCTCGTTCCACTCGACATACACCCCCTGTCTGTCGGTCTGTCGCTCTGTCGCTCTGTCAGTCTGTCAGTCAGTCTGCCTTCTGCCACTTCGAGTGCAGCATTTAAATTTGTATATTAATTAAAATGCGCTTCTGTCGTTGGTTGGCATTGGTTTTACTGTGGTGCACGCGGCGTATGCGCAATGTTTGCTTCTATGCGTTTGCCTTTATGGGGGTGGGAGGGAGGTGCCACATGTGGCCATAGATATCATAATATTTAATGGCCATCGCATCGTTTTTGCGGTTTATGTTTAACTCTAAATTGGGCATTTAATGTGGGGGCATTTATTAGGATACTAGCCCATCCCCTGGATATCCCATGCTGCAGCACTGCGATAAGGGTATTTTTCTGGCATTCCCCACAAGGAATCATTGGGAAAACTATGCGACTACGAGGAGACTCTTTCTGTGGGCAAACGCCATTACCGTTACCATTACCCAGCATTGATTGGCCTCGAAACTTGGCAAATCGTGGGCTATCTTCAGTTTCAGGACCACCTTTGGGCACATGCAATTAAAAGATAACCATTTTAAGTGACATTCCCGAAATGGAACTTCTGGGCGGATATCTGTTCCCATCTGCCACACACCCGTGTGTATTAGAGCTGATTGGCAGCGACCCTGCCCCAGTCTGGGAATGTTTCCAAATTGTTATTTTACATTTTTGAGTGTCTCGCTTAATGAGTGTTGCGGAAAACCCCCGCTCCCGCCCCCTCCCCCGCGTAAAACATTCCGAACAACAGATGGAAATTTGTGTGTGTGTGTTTTTCCAGCGATAAAACGAAATTACGGATGCAGGAGAAAAACAGAGTAAAAGACACTGGGAGAGAGAGAGGGAGAGGGGCACAGGGACACGGTGATAAGTGTTTGCCATTGTTACGATGACAGGCCGATACCCCTACTCCGCTCCCCGCTCCCCGCCCCCCGCCCACCGCGACTGGGCTACTTGTCTTGAGTTTACCTTTAGCTGCCATTCCCTGGCATTCTCTGTCTGTCGTTCTTCATTACCTGCCCATTCGCCCAAGCTGTTGTCGCATGTCTTATCGCCGGGCTAATTGACTGATAAGCGGAGGAGTCGAGCAATTTGTGCGTCTAGCTGGATGCCTAGGTGGTTCCCTTCTTTACTGGCTCCTTCTGGCTCTCAGATAAGATACAATTCAATTGAATAACAGTCGCGGGAGGGGGAGGGCGTCTTCCTCCGCTTTCGCGACTATCTCTGGGTCTGAGGGGTGTTCCATTAAACAAAGGAGCCTTCACGGCGAATAATTGCCGAGATAATTTGACGGAAGAAGATTAAAGGAAAGCCCCATTCCTATCCCATTCCCATCCCTGTCTAGGGAAAACTCAAAGGAAAACGCAGCGAAAAGCCACCTCAAATTACGCATAACAAAGTCCTCGAATTTTTCGCATTTCCACCGAAACGAAAGGAGCGGCGAAAACTTTATTGTCGCTCCCTCCATCCTGGGTGCCACTTTCTGAATACTTTTCCCGGGCGATCATTTGTCATTTTCTTATTCAGAAAGTTTCCAGGGGGCAAGGGGAAGGGGAGGGGGAGGGGGGAGTGCATTTTCGCACAGTTTATAATCATTATTATTTATGCAGACTTAATCCACAGTTATTAAAACGAAGGCAGAGGCAGAACCAGAACCAGAACCAGAGAGGAGCCGGGCAGAACGGAGGAAACGCGTTTAATATTCATTTTCTCCGGAAAATGGAAAAGTTTCGGCCGCTAATGAGTTCTCTAATGAAGTTCTTCTGTTCTGAACTTTTTTTTGGCCTTCACTTTGGTGGGGAGGGGTGGTGAAAGTCTTAGCCACGGGTCAAGTCATCCTCCAGTCACGGAGAAGCCGCTGCCACCGACCGTTGTGCTCCACTAAAGATGCCACCTGGGAACGGAGTGAGAGACAGCCAGAACTGAGAGATAGCTGCCACTGCCACAGACACTGTTGCTGCCACTGCCACTGCTATTGCCGCTGCCGCTGCCGCTGCTGATGATGATGAAGCCACTGCACACGGTGGCTGCGTTTTGGTTCGTGGAAAGAAAGTTGCCATGGACAATCGGGGGGAGAAAATTTAATCAAAATATTTGCACATCCGCCAGCAGGCAGAGGAGCCAGAGACTCAGAGACCCAGGGAGCCAGAGAGAGGCAAAGAGAAGCTGCCAAGGCGACTAGAATTTCCCGTCTAAGAAACAGAACTGAACCCCTCCTCCCCGCCCCGCCGCCACCAGAGTGTAGAGAGCGGAGGGGAGTGGAGTGCAAAGTGGAGTGCAACGGAGTGGAGGTACAGTGCGAATCGTGGCATTGCCACAAAATGGAAATCTTAATTCATTCTAATTTCATTTTGATTTTGAGAGACCAAATCTAAGAGAAAACTGGAGAAATTCTATGAACAAATAAACGAATCTAAAGCTTCAAGAAGATCTCTCTACAGTTCTCTCCTTCCGTAGGCGGGTGGAAACAGTCCCTCCCATAAACGTGTACATATCTGTACACATTTCTGGCAAACCAAGCCGCAGATGCGCTACATGTCGGTACTTTCCACATCCTTCAAAAATATGGTACTGTATGGATACATTCGGAGA